GATTTCAGAATGACATAGAAGTTCTTATGATTTTGTTAGTTTGTTTGTTTTATTGACTGTTTTTCCCCATCAGTTTTGGTTTTGTATTAATGTGTTTCAGGAAAAAGAAACTCGAGACAAAGGGTGGAAAGAGCAAACAGACCTCCTAAGACAAGACCAAAACAGGGAAAGGGAAGAGAAACTGAAATATTTTCAGGAAATGCAGGCTTTAGAGGAGAGAGTTTCAAAACTTCATGACGGTAAGGAAAGAGGCAGCTGAAGGCTGAAAGATGCACCATAGAATACTAATCAAATGAGGCTGCTGGTTTCTGGTGAGAAGAGCAAAATGATTTTGCAGCCATCACTACAGTGGAAAATTATTTTCAGTTATATTATGCAAAGAAGAATCAGAAAAAATATGGGATATAGAATAATCTGTGTCCTGCGATTAAGTATGCAACAGCAAAAAATGCTGTCCACAAAAAAGCGTTGCAATCTTAAGAGATTTTGGTTTACAAAACAAGAATGAGATAGCAGGTAAATGCTGATGTTAGCTCTGACTTGCTAAATGTTATTGAGGTAGGCAGTAGATTTTTACTATTGTAGAACAAATCTGCTTTCTTTATTATAGCCTATTTTTTCAGTACATATCTACTTCACTTATATAATTTGAAATTGTAGTTTCTCTTTTCAGTTTTGGTTATCTGAATCATTTGGTGTGGCTATTTGAGAAATGTCAGTTTCTATATTTTAATACTGCTTTTTTATTCACTTGATTTTCACAGCATCTTAATGACTTCTATTCATAAGTCAGTCTCAAGTATTTTAGACGGACTTCACGCTGTCATGTTAAAGAACTCTTTCAGTGATTATAGTTAATGAACAGTAGCACTTATTGTATATGACAAGAATTCTAAAAATCTGTAGCTGTTTTCAGAGGTAAAGTCTGTGAAAATCTTCTAACACAACTTACATAAGCCAAGAATCTCCTCCATTATGTCTCTGAATAAGATGATTTAACCACCTTACCCATCGTACAATATAAGCTGGTATTTTCCCCACCTTACAGACAGAAAGGTAGCTCCTTACTTAATTTGATAGAATGATATACTACTGAAAAAGTATTTATTAAATATTTTAACTGAACTGCTGCAGTTATTTCTGAAAACTTGAGCTGAATTACAGTAGATAACATGGAACTCCGTGAAAACAGAAGTCAGAAATTTGAGTAAAGTGTTGAAAGGAGAATGCCACTATGTTGCAGGGGCCAAGTAGTCATATTCAACTTTTGGCCAAATACATGTCTGTTGTCTTGATAGAAAAATATTTTGAAAAGAGAAATATTTGAGAAGCTTCCTCTTTCTTCTACACATAAGCATTTACAGGTTCTGGTTATAAGTTTGTTACTGTTTTGTACCTTTGGTGTCCCTTCGTAGCTGTGCGCAGTCACTCTCATTGAGTCCACACAGTGATGCACAGACACTTGTGTAAAGGTGGTTTCTGTATGCAGTGGATGCAGTATATTTTAAATCATTCACTGCTTGAAATAGGTAATGACTCCTATGACTTTGAGATCTGATAGCTTCACAGGAGTAGTTACCTTTAGGGGAAAAAAAAACCCAAACATATATCCCAGGACCGGCCTAATGTCAGTGATGATGACAAAACTAAACTACTGTGCAAGTCAAAACTATTAAAATCAGTAATGTTGTATTAATTTTCATTCAAACCCAGGAAGTGGGAAGGCAATTGGCAGAAATTAAATTGCTCTGAAAATTCTAAAACATGGATAATGTCTGGATACCTTTGGAAGATGACAATAGACTTTTATATTTAGCAGAGAACCAGGAGTGGATTTAGTTGTAATTTTTGAAGAATTTATTTTTGCAGTAGGAAAACCACATTGTGCATAGAAGAACATGTTAAAAAATCAATGGCTTTTGCTTGCATTATTTTCAAAATCTTTTAAGGGCACATTAAAATTAAAACATTTTAAATATCGCTTAAACATTTTTCACAGAGTGGGAAAGGAAAGAATATGACAAAATGAAAAAAGAAAGCAACTTTTTATTGGATAAAGAAGAGAAAATAAAGATGGAGGCAGAAATCCGCAAACCTGAAGTGGAGAGTGAAAGCCCTGAAATGTTGGAAGAGCGGCGAAAAAGAGAGTTCCTGCTTGCTAAAATGCAAGAAATTGATAGAGAAATTCAAAGTACAGCAAACATGAAACCAACTTCCCAAGCACCACTCATAAATACAGCAAGAAAATCTGATTCCCTGGAGAAGAAGGAAAAAACTAATCCATTCTTTGAGGTTCCAGGGAAGGTTACTAATGGATTTTCTGTAAAGGACAGCCAGGACGATGCCACAAGAGCACAAGGGCAGAAGCAACAAAATGTAAGAACTGTAGATTTAAGTTGTGAGTTAACATTTGGTAGTTATGTACCTTCCTTTGGGAAAGGATCAGGGAGACCAAGTTGGCTTACTCAAAAAAGTGACAAATTAGAAGAAAATGTTAAGGAAAATGCAGATTTCGATAGTAAGAAAGAAAAGAAGTCCAATTTAATGGAACAACTCTTTGGAAGCAGTGCCAGTACCATTGTTCTCTCTAAAAATAACAATACACCACCTTTTGATGTAGATTGGGATTCTAGTAATACTCCTTTCGTTGATAAAAACAGTAAACTCAAAGTAAAAGAAGACAATGAGCTTTTTGGTGAAGGAAGAAACCTAAACAGACACCGTTTGCAATACACTACAAGCAAGCCAGGAGTCAAGACCCTTGGTTCTTTAGAAGATGAAATCGAAGAAGTAATCTTACAGTGATCATATTTTTATATGTTTCATATGTAAATACTGAAAAACTATTTTCATGTAATATTTATTAGATACAGATTTGAAAGATGTCAGATATATTGTAAAGCCTTATGAAGGAATAATTTGCATAAATGGGTATATGTATAGAGGAGAGGTGCAGTGCTTGTTTGTTTTTTTTTACCTGAGGGCTGCTCACAATACACTGCTTTTCAATTGGAGTACTTCTTTTAGGCCTCAGATATTTTCTTTCTCACACATTTGGAGAACCACTTAACTGTGCCAGGAGAAGGCATGTGTAATATCAGTCATGAAATGGATAGAAGAGACATCCCTAGCACAAATTCTCTTAGAAAGAGAATATTTTACGCTGCTGTCATGTTATCTCATAACATCAACAGAAGCACAATTAACTCAGGAACAGCCAATTTCTCTTTTGTGTAGATTTTCTGTGGACCTTACTACCAAATGTGTCTAAGTCTTCTCATTTATACAGATTATATTTGTTATACAATGCCATTTTTTGTAATTTCTGAATTTTATATGTAAAATTCCAATCATTACTAAGTAATTTTTTAACAAAATGGTTTTATTAAATGAGTTGAGTAAATTTTTTGTGTGTAGATCCTCTTTAGTACAAAGTTCTGACTTTTTATATTGTTTCTTGATATTGGGGAAGGAGCTGGTAGCAACATTACTAGTGATGTTATTTACTGGTTGGTGCTGTGTACACAAATGAAAAAGGTAGGTAATGAAGGATTTAGCAGAAACATTCAAGAAAATAAGCTGAAGGTCATTCCTTACTAGAACAACATATTTTGAAATGCCTCTCTGATCCCTATGAGCCTGATTCAAAACATACTAAAATACAGAGAAGAAATCTCATAATTTCAAGATGTTCTGAGTCAAGATTTCTCTGAACACAATGATTTTTCTGAAAAGAAAGACTGGTGTCTGCATCATGCAGTCACATTGTTTGCTCCCCCATTCAGAAACAAAATGAGTCACAGATCCAGACCCGGTGTCTGGGACTGTTCTGACTTCTTGGTAGTGAAGAGCAGCTCATGTTCACCTGCTTGCTTACAGTCCCAATTATATTCATTGTAATATTACAGATTTTATCAGGTTCATTTTGCTTGCAGATGGTCAGAATATCAGGACAATTCTGACTGGCAACAGCGAATGTAACTATCTGTGTTACTCTACTGCAGTGACTTCTTTGGGGGGAATACTGTGGCATAAGAGGTAGGAAAAGTCTGTGAGTCGACACTGTGGGTGTTTGTGAGTGGCTGGTTATTTGTCTAAACTTCTTGTCCCACTTGTGGGTGACTGCTGCCCTTCTAGAAGAAGGTGCCTTGCTCCTGAAGATACTTTTGAGGGGGTGGGTTGTTTATTTTTCTTTCCTGTGGCTGAGGATTCTAAGGCATAAAACAGTGATGTAGCTGCTGCAGTTATTAAGGATCGTGTGTATGGAGGGATGGGTTGGGTTTTGTTTCTTTGCACGTCAACTCATTAACATCTGGCAAATTCTAATATCGTGCTGAACTGATGTGCCCTGCTGCTTCAATTACAAATGTGTAGTTTCTAAGCTGTTTTATATTATCGGCCCCTTCTTGAGTTCACAAATTTTCACATCCTGTTACCAGACACTTCCTGAAGCAAATACTGCGGTGACTTGCACAAATAATAAAAGACGTATCTGCTTTAGGAAGGTGAAAAGAAATTGATCTGCTGGGAACAGTATCACAGGTGTAATTTTCCTTTTCCCCTCATTGCTGTCCACCTCTACAGCTTATTTATTCTCTTCTCCTGCAGCACTTTCTACTTTTAGAGTTACTGGTATACAGATGCCATTATAATTAAAATGTATAAAGGCAGCACTTTGAGAGGTAATCTTCTGATAGTGGGAGGAAACCTTTTGATTCTTCTAGCATCTGTAAGCAGCGTTTTTGCTATTGGGTAGTAGTTTTCTACTCACTGAAGAAAATTTTGCAAGGTCTTAAAAGGATCTATAGACCTTACAACTGGACACACTGATCTCCTGTAGTCCCCTGACTCCTGGTCTTGGGTACTGTAGCTGGGTAATCTTCATGTTGCTTTTAGTGGTGGCAGTGTTTAATAGCACTTGATTGACCACAAAAAAAAAAAAAAAAAAAAAAAAAAAAAAAAAAAAAAAAAAAAAAAAAAAAAAAAAAAAAAAAAAAAAAAAAAAAAAAAAAAAAATTCAACTTGTGCAATAAAAAGTAGGTCACAAAAGCTTTGATGATTTGTGTATGATTTGATGTGTATATCCAGTTGTAGGTTCTGTTTGATGTTTAAATGTATGGCTGTTACTTCTGTTGTGTTTTGCTTTCCTTCTGAACCACCAAAGATGAGAAATTGCTCCATTCCAACAGGAAAGGATCATTAAAGTTTGATTAACAGTTTTAGTGGGATATTCAGGGAAATTATTACTGCCCCAGGAAAATTGGTCATCCAGTTCTGATCCCCAGGAGGGTGGTCATCAAAGAAAAGTGTCTGAGGAGCATCTGATGAGAGTAGGCAAGTGTCAGAGCTCATCTGACAGAGAAAACAGGAGGTTTTAAGAATAAAGATTTCTCTTTTTGAGAGAGGAGATGAACTGTAGAGCATGGGGGGAGTGTAGTAAATCTTCTGTGGTCCAGAAGAAATGTAAACCATCAGAGTGGAACTTGGGATGCCCTTCACAACTCTGAACTGAAGCCTGAAGAACGCTTACGGTGGTAAGAAAACTGAACTAGGAAATGCTTAAACATGTTGAATTTTTTTCTCAGCTCTGAGGTATCTTTGGGCTTAACTAAAGACTGAAAAAAAAAGGTGATTTTTCAGAACGCTGGTAAATCCTATGTCTGTGATTTTGCTTTGCCTTTTGCATCCATGCCTAAAGGGGTAAAATGCAAATCTATAATGCTTCCGAAATGAGGACACTTGCAGAGGATGAGCTTAGGCTACTTGGTAGCGTCAGGTTCCTTGCTGGTCCTGAGACAGAAGGTCTATTCCAGCCAGCCCTGAGTCTATACGCAGTGTCAGGAAATGTAAAAGAATATCTAATCTGGCATGTTAGGAGTATGAATTTGATCATGGAAACATAGTGGGACATGTGGCTATGAGAGCATCATAGCTGATACTTGTGCTCTAGAAGGTGCTTCAGGTAGGCCTTTGCTATTCAAGAAAATAGTAATAAATTCTGCATGGTGCTCTGAAGCACCGACCTGCAAAAATCAATGCAGCAGAAGTGAGTGCCTTCAGGAGAATCGTGCTGCCAGTCGCAGGAAGGGAGGTTTTGTTCCCAACGTTGCACGGCTTTGCTAAACCTGACCTACTCTTGTTCCAAGATGACAACTTTAAGCATAAGAGATGCCCCAGGTGACATTGCTCATTTATAAAATTCCCTTTTGTTGGATCAAATTTAACATGCTCTCCTGTTTCGAATTATCTCTTTGATTAGCTGCAAAGTTTTGATGTCTGCAGGAGGAGAACAATTGCATCAGTGTGCACCGTCAGCCAGGACTTGTGACTGCTGGGGGGTTGCTAGGATACCTCTCTAAAAGGTACGATTCACTTGATTAACCACCAACCCAGTTTGCATGAGAAATATTTTTCCTATCCTTGTTTTGTGCTAGTGTCAGCTGTGCATCATATGTGCATGTGTGTTTAGAGCAAGCTACAGGTTGACTGTCATGTGTGTTCTTTGCTGCCTTTTGATATGCAATAAAACCCTCTGTGCTTCATAGCAAAGAATCCAGAGGTATAGTAGCAATTCCAGTAATCTGTAAAATGAACATTGCTTCCACAGGGGAACATCAACTATAGAGAAGGTTTGACTTTGGATATGCATTTTTGGCATTATAGCTAAGTCTTAACTTTATATCTGTGAAGATGTAAGGGAATTTTCATCTCCTATGTATTATTTTCTTTCCCACTCTGAGCAGGGGGTTGGACCAGATGACCCACCAAGGTACCAGCCAAAGCTATTCTGTCATTCTGTCATCCTTGCCACATTCCACTGATATTAATGCTCCCTTCCAGTGGAAATCCTTTGCACAAAGCCCCTTCATTCTACTTGCACAAAGTTGCCTCAGATGCCTCCTGTGTGCCCATCTGTCCTTGAATATGACAACATTGTATTTGGGATGCAAATCCTGACTCAACTCCCTCCACAATAGCTGCTTCCTGTATGGTTATCTTTCCAATACCCTTTTTTTTCCTCCATCTTCCTGTTTCCTGAAACATTTTGTTTAAACTTTGCCTTCAGGATATCTTGCCATCGTTTCTGTGAATCCTCCTTTGTCCTGCAACCCTCTTTCTGCACTTTCCCTCAAATTTTCATAGACTCCTCTTGCTGCTTCCATGTCTTTCGTTCTGATGAACCATCAGAACACCTTTGTTCTGTCTGAACAGACTTCTGCTTTTCATCCCCTAGGCATCACAGTTATCTTCTCGCTAAGTTCCCTTTATCTCCTCTCCCTTGGTTTCATTCCTCATTCTGGAGCTCCCTATCAGCTGTGTTGTGCTGGTTTTCTTCTCACCTGTAGGTGGAAGTAATGTTGCAAGAGAATAGGGGAGGCCTCCTCAGAAAGGGAAGTGCCCTTATTTTGGAACTGCTTTCGCTTGTGCTCACACCCCACACATGAGCACTGAGGTGCTGGTGCTCAAGCAGTCTGTCCAGTAACCAGGCACAAAGGTGTGTGTACCCAGTTGGCCTGGACAGGGGTCCTCACAGCAGCCAAGAGCCTGCTCGTAAGTTCTCTTCAATCTTCCGGTCTCTCTTTTGACCAGGGATTGGAAGTGCCATCTGTGTCCTTTAGGAACTGCCCCGTGAATTTGTATCCATCTTAACCCACCTGTGCAAGTCGTTAGGATTCCCTCACTGTCCTTTCTCACCTTCTCCAAACAGCCAAGAGCTCCAGCCTGTTCTTCCCAACATCTCCCCTCAATGGCTTGTCTGTTTTAGTCTGGGTATAGGCCACTCCTTCTATTCCAAGTAACCTAAAAAGCTGTACATTACTCTGTGAAGATCTTGATGACCTGCTAATGTGAGTACCTCTGACAGCCCTTCTGCCAATCCTTCTGCTGCTCCCATATTCCAGACCTTTCTAGTCATTTTCCCTTTATACAGTCTTCTTGTTTCCATTACTGTTCTCTACGCTGTGATATACTGGGAGTCGTGGGACTCAGACTGTGTTTTGCAGAGCCTCTAACAAGCTGTTAGCTTCACAGTTTGCTGCTTAATCATTCTCATGGTAGCAAGGATGGATAACGCAGGTGCTGTAATTCACTAGAGATCAGTTAATTACTAGTACTCAGCATGAGGAAATCGTGTTCGGGTTGGCAAAGGGCACAACTAAACTCCCATACCTGACCTTCCTCTTGCTGTAAAGCTAACTCTGGCTTTGAATTCTCAGTTGAAACAAGCACAAAACCAAGTCTTAAACTGCCTGTGCAAACCAAGCACCCAAGTCCTGGGGAATGATCCTTATTTAACAAGCAAGCATTTGTTTCACTGGTACATGGTTTTCCTTGTCTCATAACCCATCATGTACAGGAACAACAACAGCACTTGGGTTTCAGAGACATTTCTGTCTCAACATGCTTTCTATTGGCCTCACGACAGCCATGTGGAAACTCTGAGGAAATGAGAGGTACAAATGGCCTTCTCCAAATCGTACTGGCTGGTGGTGGAAGTTAGACTAGGAATTTCCAGGTTCTCACACATTATAAGGCTCTGCTCCCAATTTCATGTGTGTATGGGCATCCTCTATCCAAGTCTCAAAAATTGTAATGAAAAAGGCATTAAATCAAACTGCAGTTCTGGAATGAGTGGTGTGCAATTTCTTTTACTGATGAAAAGCATAAATCTAGGATGGAAATGTTCCCAAGATTATTCTAATGTCTTCTAAAAATCATGTGTCTCTGATTTTTTGTTTGCTTCTAGTGGATACACAACATATGCTGGCACATGAATGTAACTTTTGTAAGTGAAGGATGTAACTTTGCTTTGACTGGTAAATCCCAGCATCCTCATGATACATTCCTGCAGTCCAGAGGGGAAGAAAGCATGGTTAAAGCATAAGCAACGTTTACAAGATTCAATAGAAATATTTAATTTTAAACAATATTAATATTTTTGTCTTCTCAGTTATAAGTTACATTCTGAGGTCTAGAGTTCCTCTAAAATGTAATCAAGTAAATCCTGATTTTAATGAGTGGCAATCACTAAACCTGGCAATAATTGTCCTGACTTTCTGAACAGCAAAGCATTGCGGTGCCTCTTGAATTCAATGCAAGAGGGAAGCTTCTTCCTGGGAAGCAGATTCTTGTCCTGAAATAATGTATACCCATGTATAAGATCTGCATTGGTACATTGGAGATCAATAGCTCTTTTGCTGATCTGGCCAAATGATGTTCTTTGGCTGGTTCAGTCAGCCAGAGCTCAACTGGAAAATTGAAACAAAGTATGTGTTGCTGTTCAAGGTACTTCATATTTCTTGAGAGAGAAAATGTTGAAATTTATAAGTGAATTGCAGAGTAATTGCAGGCTCCTGATAGCTAGGGCCAAGACAAAGCGCTGCTTACAGAGATTTGGTTGCTCTGTGGTGCTTGTTCGTTCACGCACTTCATTCCTGAGTAACTCTTATAACCTGCTCTGTGTTGTGTTATCACAGACTCGCAGAATGGGTAAGGTTGGAAGGGACCACAGTGGATCATCTGGTCCAACCTCCCTGCTCAAGCAGGGTCATCCTAGAGCACATGTCACAGGATTGCATCCAATGGTTCTTGAATATCTCCAGTGGGGGAGACTCCACAACCTCTCTGGGCAAGAATTGTTTAGATGAGATTAAAGTTTTATGAAATAGATCACGGCCCACTTTCACTTGTGCAGTCTGTCCTGCTAATTCGATGTACCTTTCTTTTCTGAGCCATGATCTGAGATCTTGCTCCCATCATGGTTTGGGACAAGGATGCCTTCTTACCCTAGACAGTAAATGCTTGAAAAAAGCTGAACTTCGCCCAGGCTGTCTTTCCCGAATTCAGAAGGAATATTAATGACTCTATATTTTGTCGGCTTATTAATTATTTAAATTATTACTCAGAAACACTTCCTGGGTTATTCCGTGGCTGTACGGGCATGGGTACTTCAACTGTCAAGCACTTCTGTGTATCACGAGTTCCCTTTAGAGGGCACCATTGACTTCCTTGAAGCCTACATCGATGCCTGTGCTTGCTGTTAATGAGGCTTGTTATCCACGTGTGGGCATCTGAGGTACATTTCAGTATTCTTTGCTCTAAATATTTTGGATGCTGTAGTCTACTGCACCTCATCTACTGTATGCAAATAATTGACATAAAATACACCTTGTAATAGACTTCTGAGGCCTTGGCTGTGATTATTTTCTCAGTCACCATGCAAAATGCTGGAAGGAACATACACTCCAGGATGCTGAACTGTGTCTTCTAACAAAAGCTTTAAGATGACTGAAAGGCTCAGCTTCAATTCATAGAAGGCAGCACAGAAGTGAGCCTTCACTTCCACTGTGTGGTCTGAGAGATGTGGATTTTACCATCCTATATGAACTGGATTTGCAGAGATAAACTGGATTCTCCTTCCCTATGACTGTACCTGTTTTCCAGCAGAAAGAATATTTCTGCAGCCAGATGTATCATTCCATCTTCCTCTCTCCCACTCTCAATTTCTTTATTTGTATGCTCTACCCAAGGTGGGCAGGATATGGCTGCATGGTCATCTTGCTTGATAAAGCGATGCCAAAAGGGTACAGCTTTAGGGGGTCAATGATGTGAGTTACTTTCTAGAATGAAGAAAGTTGCTTTTAGATTGCTTAATCTACATTTCTGCTTCTTATCTTTTAATGAAGAAGCGCAGATATCAGGGAAGTATAGAAAGTGCCTACTGTAGTCTCTCAGCTTGAGGCAATGCACAGTTCAAGAGAAGTCCACAGTGATGTAAGCAGGATAATTGTGTAAATAAATGTCTTCTCTGCAACAAAAAATGAGATTAATTTTAGAACTGAACCCTCAAAAGGATGTATCTCATTTGTCCAGATAATTATTGTAATGAAGAACATCGATCCTTACCTTCTCTCTCACTCCTTATTATTGCTTATGCCCTCTTCTGTGCAACTGCATCAACATGGTCCTGATAATGTGGGTTTATATTTTATACCTATGCAGAGCTGCCCTAGCACTCTCTAACACTGGAGATGGCTGAGGGCTGTTCAGTATGTTTGAAGCCTCTGAGCCAGATTTTTTATTATGTTCATAACATTGTCTTATTCATTGGCTTGAAAGGTGCCTGTAGCCTACAGTGGGAGCAGGCTGACTGGTACAGGCAAAGGGGGAGGACTGGCTTGAAGGAAAAAGAAGAGCCCAGATGAGGGTGTAAAAGCCATTCTTTGGTGGCTTGCACAAAGCTCTCATAGGGCAGCAGCAATAGCTGCAAGGCAGCCCAGCAGATGTCCCTAGGTATGTAATCCTGTGAATCTCACCAACCCACCACTTATCTCTTCTTCCATCCCTGCCACGGGTGATTTTC